ATAGCACTTTAAAAGCGCTATTAAAGTACCAATTTATAATAGCGTTTTAATTAAAGTGCTATCAAAGTCAGTATTTTGCATGTTTTTTGTTTGTTTTTTTATAGCACTCTAAACAAAAAGCGCTAATATATAACATATGTTTGATAGCGCTTTCAAATAAAGTGCTAATAAATGGTACATATTTGGTACAATATTTTTAATAAGTACAGTACAATATTTTTTCTTACACAATCATTTTTTTGGTGTAAATATAAAATAACTATATTCAATTCAACACAAATAACGCTTTAAGTTACTCATTGCATATATATTATGATCCATCAAATACCAAATAACATTTTAAATTACCAAATCCTATTGTTTCCAAATATCATAACATATAGAATATTAAGAGGGCGTTTGCATAGCCAAATTTGTAGATGCCCATCTATGAGTACTTCAATCCAAATCCAAAAACATACAATCAAATTCTCTAAACAAAACACCAAAAAAATAAGAAAGGATAACAAAACAATCCCATGTAGTAACCACCTTCATGATCCAAAAGCGTTGAACTCATAGATACAATCACTAATTAGGCAAAATAATTGCTTCTTGTTTTCCTGTATCATAGAAGGAATATTGATTATGTATTGTACAATAAAAACTAATTCAACATATAAAGAATAATCAAACATTTAATATGGGTCTAACAAGAAGCGCATAAAATAAGGAATGATTATTATAAACTAATAACAATAAATCGATATAACTAATGCAATAATTGAACTAATTAAGTCTAACAAGAACATGACTTGTAAATATATAGACCACAATTTCCATTATTAGATGCATATAAACACTAAACAGAATATAATTCAAATTCTCAAAATATACATAAACACTTAATTGTGTGTAACTTTCTTTTCATGATCTAGAACTAGATATCAAACACCTTACAATTGTTACTACGAATATCTAAAAATTTCAAGTAGAAACGGAAAACTATAAATCAATCATACAATAAGATATAAGTCATTTTTCCGTATTTTCCTATTTCAAAATTTAAATTCGAGACCAAGAAAGAACACTCAGTACCTCTGTGCCATATCTTCTAAACCAATAAAATACTAAAATCATTTATACGACAACTCTAAATCCATTTGAACTCTAAGTCAAAACATTTGAACTCTAAATCCATGAGTAATATTTGTCTTGTTTATCAAGTATCAAGTCAAGGAAAAACTCACCGAAAACATCAAGCAACTTGATTATAAGTAATTTACCTTTTCACATTCAACAACAAATTCAAGAAGTTTCGTTGGCCATGGCACAATTGTTCCTATTGCTTGACCAACCATGGATACATCTCCATCTTCAACAGATATAGGAAATGGGGCATTTGGCACAATAGCAACTTCGATATTAACCTTGACATATCCAGGTGGTAATGTCATGCCATGTACCGTGTTACCTTTGGTGTTATATAGTTTTCCACGAGCAACCAAACAACGACTCGGGGAGGATAAATATATATTAACAGGAAAGAGACCCTAAACCAATAAGATATGAATAAAAAGATTAACATCATTATTGAAAGAACAAACATATCGAATTTGAGAGATAATAAAGAAACCAATTACCTCGGGAATGTTGCCAAATGATCCAGGGTTGCAAGAACCTTTATCACTAGGTAGTCGACTCTCAGCTACTTTTTCTGGTTGTTTCCTTTCTACCACTTGTTCAAGGTGTTGCCTCTGTGCCACTTTTTCAGGTTGTTGCAACCTCTCTGACACTTGTTTAGGTTGTTGCCTTTCTTCCACTTCTTCAGTTTGTTGCCTCTCTAGCTTCTCTCTATCCAACTTATCTCTCTCAATCTTTTCTCTCTCTAGCACCTCCAATCTACTTTTGAGTGAATTACAAAAGCCATACAATTTTTCAAAATCCATTTGTGTGGGGCGATTTTGGCGTGGTAATATGTCCCTACCCAAAACCATAAGTCCTAACACGTCCATAGTAGTTTGGGAGATTAAGAGCCTCAAATAATATGTTTGTGGGACCAAGGTCTTGTCTCTCTTCTTCAGATAGAGCTTCTGTTAACTTCTCCTGACATTGATAAGTATAAAAGAAATAACCAATAGTTAGATACAAGTTGCAATTAATGGCTATTCTATCAAGCTTATTGGAACTAACCGACGAACTGTGACACCAATGAAACTAGCAAAAGTCTTGCTATTATGCTTGATTGGTTGACCTCTGGAATTCCATTGAACCTATAACAAAATTAAAGTGCAAACGAAGATGCTTCAAATTCTCTGCCCCTGTGCCCAGTGTTTCCGGATCATCTAAGATACTTTTATTCTAGTATACAAAAATGAAATTTTGGGATATTTTCTAAATATTTTGACAGCCCATCGATAATACAATGTAGACAAATACAAGAAACAGGGATGGTCTGCATAGGGTTGCCTTCTCTCCCTGGATCTGTAGGATCCAAGAAAGAAGAGTCAGAATATGTACATAACATTCCCAGGATTTAAGAGTCTTGTTTCTCCCACCCAAAAATCACTAATCAACAAACACCGCTCAGTTACATTCATTGTTGTTAAATGGAAACCATAGAGTGGTGGATTTTTTCACAATTGCCATGGGCAATTTGTGAAGAGATACCCGCCATAGATGGTAGACCACAATGGCTTGCTTATAATAGCGGGTTTTTTACCTTCCATTTTCTGCGTCTGACAAGAGTGGTTACATTCCCTTCCTCTAGAAAGGGAGTTACCCATTTACATTTTCAAGATTAAAGAAATGTATTTGTTCACATAATATACTCAGAAATTATTTACATATGGGTTAAATATATTTTTATTACCTATAAAAGTAAAAAATATATAAAAAATTGGTTTTGGTTCCTGTAAAGATTTTATTTGTTTTTAATCGTACATGTTTTAACAAATATATGCTTTTAGTATCGTATCAGTAACAAATGTTAGGTGTTTTGTTTTCAGTTTTACAGGGAACAAAATATGTTCAATAAATATTCTCATATAGGAAAATATATTATTTGTATAATGTATAGTTCCATATAAAGATGAAACGCTAAAATTAGTTACCTCTTGTAGAATTAGTGCAAATGAGAACACATCCACTTTAGTGTCATATTCCTCTTGATTAAAAACCTCAGGAGCCACATAGCGGCCTATTAACAAAATAACAAAGTTCCAGTTTTAGAAAATTATTTCATAAAGCAGCATATCTAAGACCACTGCATAAAAAATATCACAATGTCCTATATGAATAAGAGAATATAGTATTTAGATATTTAGATATTCAAGTGTGCATTGATCACAGTTCTAAAGAAAAGCAGCACCCACAAGAAGTATCTTGGAAAGTTAGAGGCTTGTCTTTAACTGTTAGCAACTTGCTAACTCCAAAGTCTGCAACTTTTAGGTGGCCGAAATCATCCCTCAATATATTACTGTTAGTTTACACATAAGCAACATTGATACAAAGTGTAAATATATCAGATGACTAATCAATACATTCGAACTTCACATAAAAGGACAAAGGAAAAAACAATAATTCAACGAAGAAACTTACGAAGGCTCGAGATCACGGTGAATAATGGGTGATGGTTTATTTTCATGCAAATAACCCACTCCTCTGCATAATATAAAATAAAAACGGTGTTAAGTGACACTTCAATAGAGAAAAAAGATAAACATTGCAGTAGAGACATCATATTCAAATTCAAGAGAATCAGAACCAAGTAGATGTCTCATCTTAAAATGATTCACATACATGAATTTTGAAAAGTTATCTCTAAAAGGTAATGCATATTTTTATCCAGAAAGTATGAACCTGGAGAGAAATGTTAAAGCCATGATGCTTCTTAGGACATGCAATCAGAAAATTTCTGAGAAGAAACTTGTTCAAGAACTATATTTGAATAATTAATAACTTGTTTCTCTTTATGGATGACATCCACCCACTTAAGTTACTGGACATACGGATTGGATCATTACTTAGCCAAATTAAACATGGGCTTCACTTACTCAGCCTATGAACACATATTTATGTAATTAACTATGTTTTTTTAAAATTATAATATTTTAGCTTCTTACCTTTTTATCTAATTTTCCTTGATTTCCATTACTTTCTAGTTCCTAAAACACTATTTTTCCTATATCCGGAAACACTGGGCACAGGGGCAGAGAATTTGAAGCATTTCTGCTTTCCTTAACACAGGAGAGAATCATATTGACATCGGGCTCTTACCTAAATTAATCAATAGTTTTTCATCAGCACTTGCATTTAAAAATAAGACAAACGAAGAATCAACTTACCAATGGAACGTTCTTCTTGAAGCCAACACCAAGATGAAAAATCTTTGCAAGTTGGTAGAAAGCCTTTGGTTGACCATTGTTGGCAGCCACTATAAAATATTTACATGCCAACCGCACATCTCTTTTCACTCCAATCCCCTTGAGAAACATGACACCTAGGTTATAATGGCCACCAACCTCGTCATTTTCAGCAGCCTTTTCAAAATACTCTTTTGCCTGTAATTCAGAAAAAGATATCATAAATTAAGCATAGACATACATAGACACACAATACCACCGATAAAGTGTGTCCCCATTCCATTCCCCAAAAATTTGAAGTCCATACAAACACAAAAAAGGCAAAGATGATCATACTTTAGTGTAATTTTTGCTGTCGACTCCATAGCCTTTGACATACAAATAACCAATCCCATTATAAGCAGAGTAGAGGTGATGCTTAGATGCTAGAGTAAGCCATTCAAAGGCTTTTGTATAGTTCCTCTCAACACCGGCTCCCCTGGCATATATCTCTCCGAGAAGCTCCATGGAGCGAGGCTCTCCCTTCTCCACTGCCTTCAAGAACCACGAAAGTGCCTTAGAATGGTCACGCCTCAATCCACGTAGCCCAAAGTAGTAAAAGAGTCCCACTTTGTACATAGCAGCAGCATTCCCTTTCTGTGCCTGATACTCGAGAATCTAAAAATCCTCATCCTCTTCCCCTTTAGATTTTCTAAGTGCCTCTTTGTTCTCTTCAGCTCCATTGTGTAGCCTAATAGGTTCAATGACGGGAGAATCTTTGGAAATGAGAAAACCATTGACAGCCACTTCTGCTAATTCAGCATAAAGCTTAACCGATTTATCAAACATCTACAACCATTCCAACATAATCAAAAACTCTAACATTATAATAGAATAGAATATAGAAGTTTATAAGAGAGCATGGTTCTGAAAAAAAGGTATGCTGCTTTGATGTCAATGTTATTATTTCTCTATATCCTATTTGATTGATCATATTAAGGTATTACCTCCTTGTTAACCATGAGTTTTTTGCTAAGAACATTACGAGATTGATTTGTCAAATTGGAAGCCATTGCGCTCAAAAACCCAATCCTATTCAATATTGCAGGATAAAAACCACATGTTAGAATTCTAATGACCAAATAGTTTGTTTTCATGTAACTCAATTTATAATCTAGAAGGAGCAAGACTCACCAATTGAAAGAGACCTCCGTAGCAGACGCCAGTGCCACTCCACCTGCAATAGGCACAAGGGAAGCAACCACCCATGCTGTAGGCATCTGTAAGATAAGATTGGAAAAATCAACTAACAGTGGATTGAATTTTGAGCTTATAGGATCAAAAAACTCTTATAAGCAAGGTAACCCCCCTCATGGACACATAAGTAACCACATTGAGAAATATACTCATTAACCAGCATTTGACTGATACAGTGACAACATAGACAAGGACAAAAAATGTTCCAACTATATAAAGAATGAAATGAAACAGTTTGTATTATACATTTCCTTTGGCTCCACCCAATCTAATAATACTATAACAAATCATTTGTTTTCAATCACGTGTTCTACTTTTAGTATAGACAAAAATATCAGACATAAAATAAATTCATATGTTTTACACTAAGCTTGTACCTAAGAAACTACAGTAAACATCAATTCAATATACAATAGAAAAAATAACATTTGGTGTTGTGTTATCTTACCTCTCCAAGGAACATAGAAGACATAAGGACAGAAAAGAAAGGCTCCATTGATTTGACAGTATGAGTAAAAGAAACAACAACTTTTCCAAGGCTCATATTAGTGAAAAGGTTCCCTAATGTATGTACCAAAGCCAATGGAAATATTGCTAAAAGCTGCAAAAAAAAACAAGTGAACTCACATCTTGACGAGTGTAAGTATAAGCAAGAGCCATTTTGGATTGCATATTGCCACCATCTGAAGCAAAATGATGATAAACAAATGCTTTCTGTTTACTCCTCTCTCTCAAAAGCCCCATTCCCCACAAAAACCCTAACACTGATTGTGCCGCCGGGTAACCAGACTCTGCAGCCGTCTCAATCTCACCAGAGCCTTCTTCGATTAGCCTCGCGTCTCCTGTCATAAGCTTGGTCACGGCGGAGTAGTAGAGAGCCTCCGTATCGGATTGAGGTTGAGGTTGCGGTTGGGTGGAGGTTGGTTCGAAGATTTGGCGCCATGATCCAGGGTCGAGATCCTCTTCGGATTTGTGAGAGTCGGAGTCGCCGAACTCGTCCCACTCGGGGGAGGAATCGGGATCGGAAGGGGGTTCGTCTTTGAAGTCTTCTTGGGAGAGGACGAGGACGTAGGGGCGGGCGGTGACGGAGAGAGTGAGGAGAGAGAAACAGAGGAGAGAGATGAATAATTGGGCGGTGGGCATTGCTGTGTTGAAAAATCACAGTCACAGCAATTGAAATTCAGAAATAATATAGAAATTTGGAATGAGAAGAACAAGAATGAAGGATAGTGAATGTAAATGGATGAAATGTGAGGATAGTCAAATAATAGCGTTTTATACAAAATGCTATCTTAAAGAAGTTTAATAATAGCGTTCTGGTACAAAGTGCTATCATAATTACATAGTCTGTATTATATAATAGCGCCCGATTAAAAAGTGCTATTATAAATGTGTTTTTTCCATTTTAATAGCATTTTTTTAAAAAGTGCTATTAAATTAGGTGATACAAAAAATCATTTTTGGCGTAGTGAACCCTAGGGGTGCAAGTGTGATTGGTGTTGTCCATTTTCATGCTTTTTTGTCTTTGAATTAGGTCAAGCTATTTGTCATTTTTTGATTTGCATACAAACCCTAAGTCTATCATGGCATATTTAGAAAGCTTTAAAATGTGGAATTTAAAGTCCTAAGTTATTACAAAATAATCATGGGGATGGGGATACAAATGTTCAAATGGGGATGAGACTTAAATAGGAGAGTGGTGTCCCAATATTTACAACCAAATCGAATCAATCGCAAATGTAATATGTATCAATGTATAGGAATACGTAAATGTGTATGTGTAAATGTATTTGTGTAAGTGTATATATATATTTACAAGTGAAATAAAAATAATGAAAAAAGGTTGATTTTGGATATTTTGTGTTTTTAGGGCAAAACCCTAATTTTGCTAAATAAAAGAGTATTTATTATGTATTATACAATATTTATTAATTATATACAAAAATAAATAAAAAGGAAGTATATGGTAAAAAAATGGTTTTTGAGGTTAAATATTAATAAAAATAAAAATGTATTATTTTTGTATTTTTATCCTAAATATTCTAAGTATATAAATATTTATATTATGTATTAAATATATCAAATATATACAAAAAATAAAAATATTTATTATTTACAAAAAAAGGTATATTTTTTTAGAAAATGTTTTCAAAAGACAAAATAAAATAAAATCAGAAAATAAAATGTATTTGTATTATTTTTTAGTATTTTAAATAAAAGTATATATTTTATTATATATGTATAAATTCAAATAAAACAAAAAAAATACAAATAAAATGCAAAAATGGTTGAAAAAATATTTTTTATATTTTTTATATTTTAACAAAAAATAACAAGTCAGAATCAAAAAGAAAAAGTCAAAAATGATAAAAATAAAACACAATGGGCCAAGGGGGTGTAAGTGCAAGAATGTGGTGCAAATAGAAAAAAGAGTCAGGCCCAGCCCAAAGGTGGTTGTCTTCAACCTCCAGCAACATTCAAACACAAAAAACGCGCGTTTTTGTCCATCCCTGCTATCTCTTGATCCTTTGACTTTTAACAAAAACTTATAACATCAAAAATGTAGAGCATCAAACCACGAATTCATACATATAAAGAACTTGATCTAACTCTCAGAAATGAGAGAGAATTTCTTCTCCCCCAATTCCTGACCTAACTTTTGTTCAATGTTCAGGTTCAAAATTCTCTCAGCACACACAACATAAATGAAAGGTAATGATATGGATAGCTTCAAGGCCATGAATAAAACATTTTTTCTTCACAAACCTAAGCCTAGATATGCTTGGATAGAGAGATAGAAGTTCAAACTTTTACCTGTTCAGCTTGAATCGTGTGCAACAATGGAGGCACTTTCAATGCAGTGTGAGGACTTGTACAGCTTGCTTGAGGTCCAAGAATGCTCTTCCAACCTCTAACTTGCTTTGAAACTAATTGAAACGAGCTATGTAACTCAACCTGCACAACTGAAAAAATGAAAATGGTGAACTTGGTTAGAGGTGTTACAGTCTGTAGCTAGGGCTTGGGATAGCTTGTATGGATGTTATGGAGTGTGTATGAAGTGGTTTTGGCCAAGGCGCACGAATGGATTGAGATGGCCAAATCAAAATGCAGAATGCCCTGTTTTGTGCAGCAAAATGGTGATTTTCTGTATGAGGAGGGATCAAGGGTACTTTGGTCGTGTTTTAGGTCTGTTAGGGAGTATGCAATGTGTGGAGAAAGTTTGTTTTAGTTGGTTCTTGCAGGAATGTGAGATGTGTTTCAAAATGCAAGCTTTCTTCTATCTTAAGCAAAAGTTGTCAAGTTAGGTTGTAGGCCAAGGCAGGTCCCTCAAGCATGCTGCATAATCTCTCCTTGATCAGTGGGATTAGTCCATAATCTTGTGCCTCAAAGATCTGCATTGTACTTCTTTGATTTGTGTTTTGACATAAAGTGCACCTTTTCAAAAATGGCTAAGTTACTTTTTCTAATTATGGATTAAACTTCCATGTAATGACCAAATGAATGAAATAACATCTTGGCATAATGGTTTAGCATTGAATTATTGAGTAAGAAAGGGATTAGAGGCCTGTAACCTAGCTTGTTCATGCTGAGTTTGAAAATGCAAAGTGTATGAACATGTACTTGGCCATGAATCAAAATGACTTTTGCCTAACTTCACAAATTCGATTCTCCCTAACCACAAGGGTGTTTGAGAAGTTCTTGGACAATTTGTAAAGCTTGGAATGAGTACTACAATCCATCTTTATAATTCAAGTTGATATGCCAAGTGGAAGCATGTGAAAAGTGGCCATGAAGTTGGGCAAAAATCCTGCCTAAAATAGGTCAAAATTTTTCTAAGTTAAGAATGTTTTGCACCCTTGTTCCAAAAATCATAACTTGAGCTACAAGCTTCTTTTGAGGAAACTTTGTGAATCAAAGTTGTAGATTTTGCAATGGACTATAACTTTCATGTTTTGAGTTTTGTTTGAATCCAAATATATCTTGATGAAAAAAAGGGACAAAGTTAGGAAAAAATTAGGAATTTTCATAACTTAGAAAATTTCTAAGTTATGAAATTTCTTCATTTCACACCCTAATTTGTAATTTTTGGTTTCTTGATGAACAAGTTTCATAATTTGACATGTTTTGATGAAAAATGAATCTTGACACTTGATTTAGACCAAAAAGTCAAAGTTTAACTTTTCAGTATACAGTCAAATTTTGATCAGTTGACTGGAAAATTCATCTGTCAATCTTGTGCATTTGGGATATTTTGAACTTGTTGAATATGTCAAGACCATGTCATTGAGTCCTTGAGTCCATATGTGAGCTTGGTTTTCCATTGGCTAGGTCAAACAGTCAAAAAATTGCCTTTGTGCAGTCAAAACCCTAAAAATGACCATTTTGCCCTTTTGGTGATCTGATCAAATTTCTTGTGGAATTGTGATCCAAACTTGACCAAATGGTCCATATGAGTTCATAATGTTGGTGTGGGTCAAAAATCATGAGGTTTGACTGTCAATTGACCACAGTTGACTTTTCCCCCAATACAGCTGATTTCTAGGTCAACTGTCCAATTGACTGGGCAAAGATTCGAATCAAGGCTTGAAACTTGGTATGGATAAACTTGTGAGTCCAACATGAAGCATGAAAGTTACTTTGGGCCTTTTAGGTCAAAAAAACTTTGTGCAAACTCAAACCCTAATTTGGGTTAACAGTGCAAGGAGGAGTCTTGAGCAGAGCAAACCCTAACTGGATTTTGAGCTCCAAGGGTCTTGTGGTGAGAAAATGTTGATGAAATGGGAGGGAAAATTTTGGGGTACAACAGTTTCCCCTGTTCAATCTTCTTGAACCTGAAGAGTTAGATTGGCAAGTTTGCCTTTCGCGACTCGAAGGTGGAAGATGATTGAACACTAGAGTGCCCAGAAATTTGCACTCGCATGCTAGAGTATCAGCAATGTGATGGCGGGAATGGGCTTATAGATGCCATTTGGAGAGATGGTGGATAGGAGGATGGGCTTATAGATGCCATCTGGGGGTGTGACAGAACCTTGTCGGGAATGGGCTTATAGATGCCATTTGGAAGTGTCGATCGCGTAAGAGATTCCTTAGCGAGAACTTGCGTACCTGAGAAAGAAAGATGGTTTCCTGGCTTGCTACAGGTGTTGATCTTCAGTCTCTTCATGCAGATATGCCAGGGCTAGGTACAGGTGTCGAATCCACAATCAAATACTCACAGATATGCCCTGGCTGGATATAGGAATCGAATCTGGAATTGGTCTACTACAGATATGTCCTGGCTGGATACAGGTATCGAATCTGGAAATTGTCGTCTACAGATATGCCCTGGCTGGATACAGGTATCAAATCTAGAAATTGTCGTCTACAAATATGCCCTGGCTGGATACAGGTATCGAATCCCTAAACTATTCATGCAGATATGCCCTGGCTAGGTACAGGTGTTGAATCCACAATCAAATACTCACAGATATGCCCTGGCTGGATACAGGAATCGAATCTGGAATTGGTCGTCTACAGATATGCCCTGGCTGGATACAGGTATCGAATTTGGAATTGCGATAGTTGATAGTGATCATCTTTGGATTGTCCTTTTTCTGAAAAGGCAAAAACATTAGTTGTATGCAATGTCATGATGATGTCATGATGTTCTCAAAAATAAATGAGATCGTGTGATATGATGCATATATGCATGCGTCATGGTGTATGATAATGTGATGAATGTACTTTTGTCTAGGAAAATAAATCCTTGACGAAGGCCGGGATATCAAATCCTGGGATGATGTTGAAGAGTAGAGTTCTTCGCTTCCGCTGGGGATGATGGTTGCAAGAATAAACCGGTAGGAGAAGATGACTCCGTTGGGGAATAAACTTGTTGGAAATATTACTCTGCGGGGAATTACTCTGTGGGAAGAGATACTTCGCTGAGGTTTTGATGAGAGCTCCGCTGGGGATTCCACTGATAAGTTATGTTGGGGAATTTGATGAACTCCGCTGGGGAATAGGAAGAACTTCGCCGAGGACGATCTTTCCGTGGTAATTAGCTGAGGATAACCCAGTTATACCCTGGTGGGGAAATAACCTTTGAATAAAGTCGGGGCGAGACGTATGTACTCTACAGGTGATAAGCTTCCAGAATCTACTGG